TAAAATACGTTCGTGTGCCCCTACCATTAGTAACGAGTTATTAGTACCGTTATAGTAACGAGTCTTTTATTCGTGCATGCTTAATTAGCCTCACCCGTTATTGTTACCGATTAAAATCATGTAATTGCTCGGTTTTATATAATGTAATCTTTGTAAAGGTGTATTAGTTCATAGATTTAAAAAATAATGAATCTAGAATAATTCTGATGTTAATTCACTAGGACAAAAATATGTAGAAAAATTTAATATTTTTTAAGGAAAATGTTTCTATAGGCCTACTAATGATTGCAAAGGCAATGATTACAATGCGACCAACGTAGAATGCAACGAAAAAATAAAGCAAGCAGTCCACATGATGTATGACTGAATTTTGTTGTTGCTGCTTTTGTTCTTGGCAAAACCAAGTTGGAATTAACGTTAATAACTCACTGCACGGAGAATTGAATTATAATATCACGCACTTAGTTTCACGCCTCACACTTTTATTGTCCACATATTCACATAAATTTAAACACGATTTAATATATACTGTAACATCGATACCCTTCCCATTCAGATGCGAAATTGATGATAATTTAATTACATTACAAATCTTTTCTAATGATATATCAACAATTCTTTGAAGAGATTTCTCACGTACGTGTACGTGCATTGCCTATAATAATATGGGAAGCATATTTGAAATAAATCATAGCAACAGATGTAATAAAAACAACAATAAAACCTCAACGTGATAATGCTGGAAAAGGGGAAATAATGTTGGGTTGAAGTGTCCTGCTTTGATAGGTGAATCACATAGTTATTATTGCACCAGTTCTGACAGTTTTATGGTCATTTTCCCCAGGTTCAGCCTAAACAATAAATGTGACACAGATATAAAGATGAAGTCTCGACAGAGCAACACAGCACGGATATTCAGCAAGCAAGCAATGAAAATTCAATATTTATTAATGCTGAAATAAGATGGAAATAATGCTGAATTATGCTGAAATAGGGTAATTCTAGATAGGATTCTCTCCTAGGACAATGCATGTGTATACACTGCGTGCGTGCATACATTCGTACATGCATGCATACGTATAATCCATCACGTCAATCTATCACCAACGCATCAACAACGCCATCTCTTATTCTTGCACCAGCACATTGTCGTTGAATCACACACCGAAATACAATTGTAAGAAAACCGCCTCCACTTCGCGGTAACTAACCACGAACTCAGCCACCGATCGAACGTACCGCTGTAACGCACCTTTTTACGTTCCCATGTTATCTGTGAATTAGAGTCTCTAATGTTACGTGTGTAGCCAAAGACATAGACAAAGAGAGAAAGCCAGCTGTTATAATACCATGACTCGTAGTTTACTTGATAGTTAGAACTGATACTGTTACAGAATGTAGTCGCGGTCGTTTCTGGTTGTCGGGAGATTCCCTCTATCTCCTCCTCGTCCGACCCTTACGTTCGGACGAGGAGCAGCAGTTCTGTTGTCGCAGCAGCAGCGTCAGCTGCAGCAGCAACAGCAGACGTCGGGAGATCTCCTCGATTTTCCTTGCGCTCCACCTTATATACACAGGCACGACCGCGAATTACGCATGCGTCACGCATGCGCTGTTCACAAAGACACACATTTGCCGCAATTCAATTACTGTCACAACATCTCATCGACACAGCACCCTTTGTGTTTCAATCATTGTCGTAACGTCGGCATATTATCGTCGTCACCTCTTCGACCTAATGCCCTTTGTATTTCGGCATATTAACGTCATCACACCATCGACACTGACAGCGCCTTTTGTGATTCAATCACCGCTAGTGACGTCGGCATATTATCGTCGTCACCTCTTCGACCTAATGCCCTTTGTATTTCGGCATATTAACGTCATCA